TTTGGAGTAAAGCATCTGGAAAATGAATTACAACAAACATCGATTTTAGAGCTTGTAAGATTCTACAACCACTGGGTCTGGTCTGTGGCCAGATGTTTTCCATATGGACCCCGGTTCTTTTACATACGGGAGAGGGTAAACACTTTACCTTTAATACAGTTGTACACCAATGACCACAATACTTCAGTAGATTCACTCGATTAACTTGATTTATAGCTAAATCTGAGAAGTGGTAGAGAGAAAACACAAAAGCCTTTGAAAATCCACAAGTATGGTCATTCAAAGGTAACAGGAGTTCATTGATGTGACACTTATGAACAAATCAAATCTTTTGAACGGGTTCTCAAAGTAAACAATGAGAGCCGAGTCCTTGTAGAGAACAGTTCACTTTGTCTTCCAGTAGTAGTGATACATTTGAAGGTTAGTCAGTCCAAATTCACAGCCACTCACTTCTAATCTTCACAGTCAGCATAGGGCCCGACCTATGCTAACTGCACTGGCCAGGTCCTTCTAAGGATGCTGCCCCTGAATTTGATCACCATCTTCAAAACATAAAAGTCAATTTACAGTGATTACTTTCTGAGAGTGTTGTTAAAATGGTTTTTGAGATATTTTGCTAACAGTTAAAGTAGGCAAAACATCAACAGGTAATACCAGAGTTTTAAATAAAGATCTCATTCAATCAGTTTGTATGCAAAGTGAGTCATGGATGATGCTTGGTCAACCCAGTAGTTTAAACTCACTGATGCAATCTATTTTAGAGCTAATTGACATCAGAAAACACAAAATTGTATGAGTAGTTATACTGTCATGAACCCAATTGTAGGAATTTCTTGCAAATTGCTTGCCAATGGCTCTAGGTTACCTTTGTACTTTAGCAAGACATTTTAGTTTGTACGCTGTGTTTTAGACTTTATGTACACCTTCATGTTGCTTTTTTGCTTAGATTTAAATGGTGTCAAGTAACAGAGTGCAAATACTTAGTTACTTTACATAAGTATTGAATAATTATCTATTTGCCAACTTCTTATTCTACCCTTTACATCTTTACGCATTTATCTCTACCTTCTATTCTTTCCATTTTAAAACAATAGTCTTGTTACTCAGATTTTATTTAGTCTTGTCATTGTTTAAAAAATGCACAAAGACAAAGTTTCCAGATAAAGAGCAAACACCATATGGAGTAAATCATTGCGGTTGTATAGTTTAAAACGGTGGCAGCAGGTGAAATTGTTTTTTTAGTGGAATGTAGTTTTGCAAGTCAGTTTTCTGATGCGCTAATCACATATCACCGCTAGCGGGACACCAAATTACCATTCTTAGGGGCTCGACACTCGGGAGGCGACAATCGACCGCGATCAGAGAAATTCGTCGCTGTTGCTTTATTACCTGACACACGGGAGGCGACCCGCGGCCAGCGGCAACGCCGTCTACGCGTTCTGTTCCATGGCGAAATCAAAACTTCCATTGTTTTGTTTGGCTGTGTCAGGTTGGAGGGAATTAAGGTTATTTAAGTGGTTCAGAGTTTAAAAAGTGGTAGATATGATGTTTCACAAGGTACTGCTAGAGTTATGTGAAGTCTTACTTCTGATTTTACTACATAAAACATAATAATCAACTTCTCCTTCATGTTTGCTCGGAGATGTGCGGAGCATCCTGCCCGCTCATTGGTCAGTGAATGAAACCTCCGTTGATTGGTCCTCGTCCGAGCGACAGTGATGACAAGTTGAAAATATTTCAACTTTCTGGGATTGTGTCGCTGGTTCGCCTGTGCACGACACGTGCACAAGCTCAAAATTTCACACGCACGTTTTTCGCGTTTCGTTTGGTAGGAGGGAGACCCGCGATTATCGCTTTGTTGCGCATGTCTCATTGAAAATGAATGGAGGAGAGGCGATGTCGCCTCCCGTGTGTCAAGCCCATTATACTTCACATAATTTGAAACCAATGGCATAGTACCGGGTCTACGAGCACTTCTGGCAACAAAGTTGTTCTAAAAGCATGCTTGATATTCACCAACATATGCAAACTGCCCACGTACAGGGAGAGGCTGATTTAAACAACAATGTTTTCTAGTAGCGACCCTCTACTTTTAACCTCCACCGTGGTAGTTGAAACCTCCCCCTCGCGTTGGCTCGGTCCAAACTCGGCCAATGACAAGAAGGCTCCCGCCGTTCACTTCATAGAGCCGGCTTTTAGACTGATGGACACATCACTAACATGTTCGCTAGCAAGATGGTTAAGGTTAGGATAGGGGTGAGGGGAAGGTTAAATAAGAGGATAAGGTTAAGGTGAGGTACAATGAGCTTGTTTGGTGCCCTGGCTGCGGACATCCCATCACGTCAGTTTTACGCTGCATTGGGATCTGCAGTCATAAGTAACGAAAAAGGGCACTTTTGGCGTCAGGGGTCTGATGTGGAGGGTGGCTGACCAAGCGTTTGTTTTTGACGTGCTGGGAGTCAGAACGTGTTGGATCCTATCTACAGATAGGATGGTAAACATACCATTCTGACACCCTATTGGTTTGCACCATCCACAAATGGTTCTTTATCAGTGTTGCATTGTGCTAACATCTAATTATTTTCAAGGACATATGTGGCTGAAACAGGTAGCCTAGAGCAGTGGTTTCCAATCAGGGGTCTCAGTCCTTCAAGGAGGTCCCCCACCAATGTTTTCTGTGCTGAAGTTGTGAGGTTACCAAGATTATATTTGTAAATTAATTACATTTATAAAATCACAATTGTACATTCAAAAATCTGTGTAAGAGTTCTAACTATGTCTGTATAGTTTGTTAGTACTTTCACAGATCTGGGGCATTTGTTTAATCAATATATTTGCAGTGGTCTCTAGTAGGAAGGAATGCCCTCTGAGGAAACAAAGCTCTGGTGCACCAGTTTCAGGAAGTAGAAGTGACCCATATCATAGGTGTGCCTCAGATGGCAGGATTTTAAGTCTTCCTTTCTGATATTTGGACGTCTGTCCTCTGATTGGCTAGCGGCAACAAAACTACTGACTTGTTTGCTCTGCTTTGTTGAGGTTTTACCTCCACAAATAGCACAAGCCTGGAGGAGTTCTGCTGTGAAGTGGAGTTGCTAATGCCAACAGTTAGCTTCTATTAACTGAGACGTTCTCTGTTGTTTCCTGGACCAACACGTTCTCACACCTAGTGTCTAAAAATGACAAAGGGTAACCAAGTGCTTCTTTTGGACGCGTTGGAGGCCCCAACGCGTCGGGAGGCAATGCAATGTGCCAGAGTGTCTCTTTTCGATGTCCGCGGTAAAACTGATATTTTAGCAAACTGTGATCTTTACCCTCTTGCAATTTAACGTTCCTCTCACCCCCATCCTAACCTTAACCCAATTGCGCAAGAAAAAATGTGTTTCTTCTTGTATTGTTCCTCTCAAACATGGCTAATGGGAAATTTCGAACAAGAAACTAAGTAGTTTGGATGGGGGTGAGGGGAAGGTTAAATCGCTAAAGGTTAGAGGTTAAATGTCGGTGAAATCTCCGTTTTACCGCGGGCGTCGTAAAGAGACGCTCTGCTCTGGCACAGAGCGTCTCTTTCCGATGGGAGAATGTGTTGACTGGACGCTAAACCAACAACAGCCTTCGCCGTCTTCAGTCAAGGTGGGTGAGTGGATGAATGTTAAGTGACAGTGTGATGTAGATCTGTCAGGCTTTTCTGAACCATGTCTATTTTCTATCAGAAGCTAATGCAGAAGAAAGGTGTGGACTATTTTCGTGTTAACCCTGCATGAAAAACTCAGAGTGAGCAGAAACAATTACAGAATGGTTTTTCAGTCTTCCACCCCTTTAATCTGTATGTAGGAGTTGGGGTTTGGGGGCTTCTGGCTTGTCTTGGAGACAGGCAATGGGATCTTCAAGGAAAACAAGATAAGGAACCACTGGGCTGGTGTATCCTAATTGTAACATTTTCACATAGTCATTATGGCCTTTAGGTGTGATGTTGCTGTGTTGTGTCCATAATGGACTTATTAAAACGTAGGTTGCATGACTTTTGTGCATTAATGTTAGTGATGTGTCCGTCGCGAACGAACCGGCTCTAAGAGCCAGCTCTTTGAAGTGAACGACGGGAGCCGGTTCGTCATTGGGAGGTGTCCCCTTCCCTCCCCCCTCCCCTCTTGCTTTGGTGAAAGCTACAGGCGATTGGTCAACATGTGTAACTGCGTGTCCAGACTGTCCACGCACAGAGCAGTAGGGGCGGGAAAGAGGGAGGATCAGACTCAGACAGACAGCAGAGCATGTGTGGGTGGAGGGAGACGAGAGGGACTGAGGAGGAGGAAAAAGGCGAGAGAGAGAGAGAGAGAGAGAGAGAGAGAGAGAGAGAGAGAGAGAGAGAGAGAGAGAGAGAGTGCGACGAAGGTGGTGAGAAAATGAGCGCCATGCAGCAGGTGGAAAGTGGAGATTTCTCAAAGTGATCACTTATTAAATCCATAGAACTGATAAATATTTGATATATTGCATTTTTTTACATTAGTAAATCATTTTACATATAATTTTGCATTAATATGGTTATAAATGGTCTCTATGCAACAGAAAATCTGAGGAGCCACTTGGGAGCCTGCTCTTTTTGGTGAGCTGTGCCAAAAGAACCGGCTCTCTAAAAAGGGCCGGAATTCCCATCACTAATTAATGTGCTTTGAAAGCAGTCTACTACTTTTACTTTTACTTGAGTAAAACGTTAGAATTGATACTTTTACAGTCTTTAAACCCTGGTGCTACTTGAGTAATGAAAACTGTTTCAAATGAGTTTCTGTTCATGAACGTGTATTCTTCAGCTCAGATATTTAAAAGAAACAGTCAGTGAATGCGCGTGCTACTTAAGGGAGTGAAGTCTACTTCTGGCTCCTGGTTTTATCTGCTAGATCTGGACTCACGCCAGGCCCCCACCCCGCCCTGACAAATCTGCATCCCAGATCCGACAAGTGCGCCTCCCGCCGTTTGACATGCCCATCGTTGTAGGATTCGCCTCTGGCTGTTTCTTATTTTAAAAGGGCGTGCAGACAGCCACAGATGATCATTCTGCTCCTTGTCAGTGTGGGTAAAACATCCCTCAGAGGTGGAGGCGGAAATCGGCTGGAAAACTCTTTGATTTGTATTCCCACTTTTGCAGAAGCTTGCAGGAACCAGAAGGGAAAACACATTTTTCCTCCTGGATATAGTTTATTTGAAATTCTTGGTGTGGATTTTGACGCACCAAATGCGGTGATAGGCTGTTTCCACCTTGCCGCTCAGAGCACCTGGACGCTGCACACCTGATGTTTGGACTTTTACTGAATAAAGGATTCAGCGGATAATCAGGGAGTCTGAGAAGAAGAAGAAGCGCACCCATGATGTTGCTGCGCGTGCCCTTCTTGCTGGTTCCACTGCTGAGTATCACCGGCTGCGGCGCGTCCTACGTGCCGTGCGAGCCTTGCGAGCAGAAAGCCCTGTCCATGTGCCCTCCGGTGCCGGTGGGCTGCCAGTTGGTAAAAGAGCCTGGCTGCGGCTGCTGCCTGACGTGCGCGCTAGAAGAGGGCCAGTCGTGCGGTGTGTACAGCGGGCCGTGCGCGCGCGGGCTCCGCTGCCTGCCCAAGAACGGCGAGGAGAAGCCTCTGCACGCGCTCCTGCACGGCCGGGGGGTGTGCAGGAACGAGAAGGTGTACAGGCTGCTGCATCCACCGAAAGGTAATCGCTACTTCTTGCATGTAAACACCCGAATTATGTGATTTTTTTTCTAAGTGCATCATTTAATTCTGCAAATGAAGTAATGTTTATAACATTTGCATCAAAACAAGTCAAATGCAGAATCAGTACTAAAGTATAGTTCACAATAAAGCACCTGTCATTATGACCCCATGACCTCTGAACTATCAGAGAGCTGATCAAACAGGAACAGGAACCTGAGTCCTAAGAAACTCTTCATCCCCTCCTCTGATCCTCTTTTCCCACATCTACCAGCTGTCCCCATTCCCACATCCAACCCACCTTTTTGTCCTCTCAATGATCTCACTTTTTCTCTCCTTTCCTTCATCTGGCAATGATTCCTCTTCATCTTTTGTCCCGTCCCCCCCCCCCCCCCCCCCCCATTCCCAAACGGAAAAATTCTCATGGATTTTGTAATCAAGCCACACAAATGGTTATTTTAGATGTTTTGAGCAAAACTTGCAAAATAAGTGGAGATATTTGCCGATTGCACCCATTTTTTCAGTCCCTGCTACCCTCCTTCCTCCCATCATGTCACGCTGTGCACTGATTCAGCAGATTGCAGCGTGGGTTACCGACCCCCCCCCCCCCCCCCCCCAATCTGTCTGCCCATCAGCCAGTTTTCTGCAGCTCCTGCTGGGCGTTCTGTCCGCAAACAAAATAATGTTTAAAAAAAATAGAAACTCAGACACGCACTCAAGGATTGAGAGTACTAACTTTATCAACACGTGAAGGGATCTTGAATCTGAGCCAAAAACACGTGCACACACTTCGGAATGCATGTTTGAGCACTAGCTGTCATTCAGACTTCAATTTCAGCTTCAAATTTGCCACAGTGTTTTCATACAGTTGTTGCTCCAACAAAGAGGGATGGAAACTAGTGGTCCAGCTGATTGTGTGTGTGTGTGTGTGTGTGTGTGTGTGTGTGTGTGTGTGTGTGTGTGTGTGTGTGTGTGTGTGTGTGTGTGTGTGTGTGAGAGAGAGAGAGAGAGAGAGTGGTTTCATCTGAAGTAACTTTAAAGCCAGACCACACTGCATTTTTGGCCATCCCAGACAAATCTCTCACTGAACAGAATCATGACAAAAAAGGATGAACATGGAGATGATTTGCACGTCTGTGGTCGTCCAGTGTGGCCGGCTCAGCAACAGCTTAATGAGCACCTTCACAACAAAAGTTAGCCTCCAACAGTCTTCAAGCACTGCTTGAAAACCTACGACTCCCATCTGCAAACGACCAACGAAAAAACACCCAGGGAATGATGCAAAGAACAATTGGGGAGTGCAATACGACAGAATTCGCAACAGAAGAAGCTAAACGCAGGAGTAGTTCGATTCGGAGACGTGTTAACGGCAGTGCTTTTTTCTCTTTTCAGCTTTTTGTGGTGCATGTTACCAAGGCAACACGCAACCCTTTTCTGACATTAGTACGTCATTCTAGAGCAAGACGTCATGCAGTTTGGCTCACTGAAATCTTGAACCATACAGTGTACCATCTCTCTGGAGTCCTCACAGTGTGACATGAGCAGTAAACATGCCAACAGTCAAACATGGGGGTGCTAGAGTGATGGTCTGGGACTACTTTGCTGCTTCAGGACCTGGATAGCTTCATGTAAATCTGTGTTTCCCAATTAATGGGGTGCAGGCAGGAGGAGGGGCAAGGGGGTGCATGAGAGACCATGCACCCCCTGACCCCCGTTCGAGATATACTAAGTGAAGTTCAAAGTGCGCACACTGCAATTTTCCTGCAAGAAGGCGCAAAACATAAAATGCATCCTAGGGGCGGACTTCACAGAAAGTAATTGAGAAACACTGCAGTGTAATGATCGAACAATGAATTATGCTAGCTAGAATGGCTGATCTTTGACCATAAACAGACCATTTATGTTGAAAAATTCTCCAATGTGAATGTGAATGTGAGTTGCAACTAAGATTTAGACAAAACTCCTCCATTACCGTGAACCATAAATCTAGATTAGTTGAAACAGTTAAGGATCAATGACTTTTTCGTAAGGGCGGACGCTGATAGCATTTTTTATTCTTTAATAAAGGAAATCATCATTCTGGTTATCTCTGACTGATATTAAAAATTGTTTTCTAATCTGAAAATGTTGACAAAATTGCAAAATGAGAAGAAGTCTGCAAAGGCTGAAATGGTTTTATGTAAATCATCACATCATCTGCAAACGTGCAGACAGAAATAAACAATTATCTTCTATGGCAACACTAGTTAGATTTTTGTTGATTGATTTGTTAACGGCGCTGTGCCGCAGTGGTTAGAGCTGTTGCCTTGTAGCAAGAAGGTCCTGGGTTCGCATGCTGGCCTGGGATCTTTCTGCATGGAGTTTGCATGTCCTCCCTGTGCATGCATGGGTTCTCTCCGAATACTCCGGCTTCCTCCCACAGTCCAAAAACATGACTGTTATGTTGATTGGTCTGTCTAAGGCCCTGTCCACACGTAGCCATGGATCTGCCAAAACGTAGATATTTTTCTACGTTTTGGCCTGTCATCCACACGAAAACAGAGTTTTTTCACACGAAAACTGATCTTTTTAAAAACTCCGGCCAAAGTGAAGATCTGTGTTTTCTCCGTTTTGGGTGTCTGCGTGTGGACAGACAAAACCGGAGTTTTAAGGTCCGCAACGTCACTTTCCGCGACAAAAAGATGCTGACATCACGTGTGCGACCTGTGTTTACACTAGCCGACAGCATGGATGCCCTCAGAGCTGCGCTCGCTTTATCAATTGTCCAAGCGCTTTTTGCTTGTTTGTTTTTGCAAGCAGAATTACTGCTCCTTGCGGAAGACCGCAGACAAAGGACGAGGTTAAGAACGGGGGAAGTACTGCCGCCTACAGGTCTGGTATGTCCTTAACAACGTATTTATCCGGGTTGGTGTGGACAGAGTTTTTTTTTTAAACGAGGTGGTGTGGATGCAAGTTTTTGGAGGGGCGGTTATTCGTTTTAAAAAAAAAACCCGGCTACGTGTGGACTAGGCCTGAATTGTCCTTAGGTGTGAGTGTGTGTGTGTGCATGAGTGTTTGTCCTGTGTGTCTCTGGCTCTCTGTCCAGGGTGTACCCCGCCTGATTATCCATTGACCGCTGGAGATAGCCCCTCCCCGCGACCCCGAGCGGACAAAGCGGGTTCAGAAAATGGATGGATGGATGTTTTGTTAACATATGTTTCTTCAGTAAGACCATTCCAGGGCTTTTGTTGTTTGTTTCTATTTCCAGTCAGGACAGGTTTGTGGTATAGTTACCGTGCTCAGTCAAGAAAATACAATAATCCTTTAGTATATGTGATTATGGTTTATCTTTTATTCATGTCAAGTTGTTTGAGGGCACCAAGGGGGCAGGCTGTCATATTTCAGGGGCTGCCCCCTGTCACGCTGCGAGTGCAGGAGGATTGGACCCAAAATGCAGAACACCACAACTCAAGGCACTGCGCTGCTCTGGGCGGCTGCATGTTGGAATAGCTCTGTTGACTATATGTAAGTTTTGCCTTTTCTTGGACATTTTTTATTCTAGTTTCTCAAGAAAAATGGTATTTTTTGGACACTTTATTTTTCTGTTTCTGGTGCTGTGAAGCTTGGAGGATTTTTACTGCTATTTTTAGCTTTTTTCACTTTTTGAGCATTCGTTATGATGCGTAACCATGGCAACAGCTGGTTTACAATTGGGAGCAGCTGATTAACATTGGAAAGGCTGAAATATTACCTCAACTGAAGCCACAAATCCCAAATGAGCTAAAACGCAAGAAGCGTGGGTGCAGTGTGGGAGCAAAATGGAGACAGTGAGAGAGGAAATTCAAACCATCTCTTCCATCGATCATAATGGGCAATGTGAGATCACTGGCCAACAAGATGGAGGAACTCCAAGCCCTTTCAAGGACTCAGCCAGAGTTTCGGAACCACTGGAGGAGATAATGCAAAGCAGGATTCTCCAGAAAATCAAGAAAATTATGGACAACCCTGAGCATTCTCTTCACAAAACTGTCCGACAACAGAAGAGTGTCTTCAGTCAGAGGCTTCTTCAGTTTCGCTGCAACACTGACCGCTACTGGAGATCCTTCCTGCCAACAGCCATTGTAATATACAATAACTCTTTGATGACTTGATTATTGTTATTATTCTGAGCTACTACAGCAATCAATTTCCCTCTGAGGAGAGGTTGTTTAAAATAAAAAATCCTTTTATTAGAATGAGAACTGAAAAACAAAGACTATAGGACACAAGGTCAAAAATCTAAAGTTCTGTAGACAACAAAAGCTCTCACGTGAGCCAGGATCTATAGTAACTGGAGGGGGACAAAAACAACGCTGAAAAAAGACAACGGACCGACAAACACTGAGGGACAAGACAGGGTTTTTAAACACGGAGGGAGGTAATCAGGGGAACAGGTGACAGGTGTGAGGAGTGAGATCTGGAGGGAAGACAGGTGCCATCAATAACCTAAATGGGGGAAAGAACTAAGCAGGAGGGAAGATAAACATTAACCTATAAAACACTGAATAACTAAACCTAAAGACTAAGGGCAAATATAAACAACCAATTACTAGAGGAGGACTAATACAAAATCAAATAGGAACTACAAGGGAGTGACTAGGGGGAAACATGAGGGAAGCCTAGAGAGAGCTGGGGAACATAATGAGACACAAGAACATGACACCCCCAGTCCTCAAACCATACATCGCCCACACACGCTCAAATATCAGCTGAAAATATTTATTCTAATTCTCCAGTAAAAAAAACATTATGGGTGAAAAAGGAAAATACATCAAGGAAAGTAGAGCGGATGTTTTTGCAGAATACAGAGACTTTGCTCTCAAGGGAAAATTATGATCAGTCAGCACAGCTGGGAATAAAAAAAAACCTAGAGGATTAGCAAGTGAAGACTTGGTTGGACACTCCCACATCCTTTATTTTCTTCTGACAGAACTGTAATCCAGGGAAAGGATGGATGATATCGCCATTCCCATCAAGGCCATGACCTTGTTTCACCATTCTTGTTAGCTTAGTAGCTTAGCGACTACATCAGTGCAGAAATGGCTTTCTGCTGCGTGACACAGCAGTGCAACTGGGTCGGCCGTGGCTTACAAGGCTAATGCGTGTTTAGGGCTGGACGAAATCTTTTAAAGTACTTCAGGGATGGCAAGCCCCAGCTGTGGTTGCATGAGCCAAGGGTGGGAGTAACAAGAGAAATAGGTGAGCGCCGAGGTTGGTGTGGCCCCCCAAACTTTTGCAAAGAAATAGAGCTTTTTTTTTTTTTTTTTGTTTTTTTCTTGCAAAGGCACACAAGGGGTTCTATAGGGGGCTGGGACCCAAAATGGGCTGCGGCTGTTTCTGGTGGCTTGCCACATGACAAGAGTAATAGTATGTTTGCACAGACCCGGGTGCCAGGCTGAGACTAAATATCTAATTTGGGTCACTTGCTATAAAAGTTTTAAAAGCTCTGGTCTACATATACCCCAGAGTGGCAACCTAACTTGCCATAAATGTAGGCTGTGTTGTCCCTTATGTCAACACGTTCAGCCCGAAACTGGCCAGTCGCCACTAAGTGTGCTAAATAAGCATCAAACCGGCGCAGTGAAATCATCACCTTGGGTTGTGACGTTTCTCTTGCTTTGTGTCCTTGTGTGTGTGTGTGTGTGTGCTTTGCTTTTTAATTTCAGCCTTTTCTGCTGTTACGGTTCCAGGTGGCGGTGTGTTTTATTATAAACCATCTCATGAAAGCAGCAGAAAAATGCTTTGAGGCTTGGCTTGCAAATGACTAATATTACACCTCTTTTCATTTAAGTTCGTGAGGTGAGAATTGGTATCGCTGGGTGTTTTAATCCAGTCGTCTGTAATTTGCACTGTTTCAGTAAAAATTACCAACCAGTGTGCAGGAAGGGTTCTCTGATAATAGTAATCCCATGAATCAAGTGTAGGTTGCTTCTTTCTTTAGTTTTATTTGAGCCTTGTCTCTTTTGGTTTTCATTTGAATTAAACTTTGAAGAATTGCACATTTTTGGGCCTTTGCAATTCTCAAAATAACACATTTTGAAAGAAAATTTTGTTGCCAGAAATGAAGAAAACTAATGAGATCCCTTTTCTCTTGTTTGTCTTTGTCTTCCCAAAATCACCCTGATGTGTTGAAGAGCCAATACAAACCAGGGTGCCCTTACATATAGGTCACGTCAGCAAACTCAAGGACCTGGCAATGAGGCAAGCCAAGGATCGCATGAACCATTTGGCCAGACTGAGACCCACTGGTAACCTAGAGCTCTCGCCAACCAGCCCCTACAAACTGGAGCCAGAGTTTGTAAGACGATCAAAATTTGTGTTAAAAAATGTTTAGCTTAAACTCTGTAACATACTGGCTTAAATCTGTTTGTGTAGGGACCCTGCAAGAGAAAACTAGATAGTGTAATTCATGACATGAAGGACTCTTCTCGGGTGTTGGCAGTGTCTTTGTACTTACCCAACTGTGACAGAAAGGGCTTCTTCAAGCGTAAACAGGTTTGAATTAATCTTTTAACTCTATATTTTCCCACAATTGATCTAAAATGAAACAACTTCTCTGTAACTTCTTTCCATTTGCAGTGTAAGCCATCTCGTGGTCGGAAACGTGGTATTTGCTGGTGCGTGGACCGCTTCGGGGATAAAGTCCCCAGCATCAACTACGCCGGTGGAGGACTGCAATGTAAAGATCTGGACGGTGGCAACAACAGCAACGAATGAGTGTGAACGAGTTTCCTCTTAAATCCTGCCAAACAAGCGAGAACTCTTAATGGCTGACAATCAGGAGCATAAAGCACAAACACTTTTTATATGTGGTAGAGTGTGATGGACCGCGCTGTTCATTGTGAAGTGGAGCCAAACAGAAAAGGTTGCTTCAGTGAAAATTTACGCCTGTGGCATTCCACTGTCAATATGAGTTTAGCAACCCCAGTTTTCTGCTAAATTCACTTCAAAAAGTCATTGAAAGACACATTTTCACAATGGCACACAGTTTTTGTGTAAAACAGGAAGTGGGGCCACAAAGAGACAGACATTCATATATACTGAGTCAATTTAGTCTAAACTGGAGGTTTTTCTTATTTACTATTGTTAAATTTTGGGATTTTTTTTCCTAAGAAAATTCCAGTTTCTATCTTTGGGAAAAACTTAAATAATTTCATGATTTTGAAAATATTTCTTAACACTGACCTTGAAAAATTGACTAATTCCCATCAAATCTAGGTTCTCGTGCTAATCTCTCAATTTGAGTGCGTCGAGGTTCAAAGTCATATTTTTGAGCTCCAACTTCCCTCTTTCAACTTTTGTTCAGTACAGCATTTTCCTTACAAGTTATTGTAAGTTGATATTAACTTTGTGTGTTTGCCAGAATGGCAAATAAACTCAGGAGAACAGATAAGATAAGCTAACAAACATTTCAAGCTGTCAAACAGGGATTTCACAACCAAAGCTACACAACTAGGACCACGTGAATGAAAAAAAAAAGTTATAGAATTGAAAAAACACATTAAAGTGATTAAAATCATTTCATGTAGTCAAATTAAAAAAGTCCCCATAGCAAAGCAAAATTGAAGATAAGATCTCATTTCTGTCACATTTACATCTCCTAGATACAAATAAGCACAAATTGAGACTGAAGTGGTTTTCTCATTCTTCTCAAATGTTTCTCCTGAGAAATAAATCTTACAGTGAGCACTGTCTGAAATCTCAAAATCCTCTTACAACTGTCTCTTTTCCTGATCTCAGATAAGTTAAAAATGAGACATGAAATGCACTCTCAAAAATGTCTCAATATGATATCCTTACTTCAAATCCCTATCTCAGTTATGTCTCAGTGAGCAATGCATGACGTCACTAAGTTAGATCAGTTTCATAACAAAATCAAATGCGCTCTCAAATGACACTAAATCCATTTATTTCTTGACAAAATACATTATCAATTCAATTGTGGTTTATATTTATATAATGTTCAACTTCCAAAACTTGTTGAATTCTTACATGTCATAACTTGTTAATTACAGTTTTAAGCTTTAAGTTAACATTTAAAAACTGTATAGCACATTAAGCCACAATGTGCTCAAGATATCTTTTTTAATTCATGAAATTTCTAGATATTTACATTGCATTGTCAATTTAATTAACAGTTATGTAAACATATAAATGAAAATGGTTGCTTTTTACAGAAGTCACAGCGAAGTTGTGTTATACAGAACAGTAAAAATACAGAGGTCAATGTTGTTATTGGTCAGTTTTGGTCTTAATGGTTAAAACCTTTCAAGTGTATTTGGTAAATGAGCTACAAACACTATGCCAGGCATAGATGTCAAGGTAAGCAACTTTACCCAAAATACAATCCAAGGGAACCACTGTTCTGACAGAAGTTTCCACAAGTGGAACAACATGACTGCATGTACCATTCGTTCTACTATCTTGCAGCAAAGAAAAACCTGCATCTTTGAATTCATGAACAAGAACCCATTTGTCACAGGATTGTTCCGTGATAAAGAAGAAATCTATCTTTCCATATTTTATCTGTCCTTCACTAGAAAAAAAAACTGTGAAATTGTTTCTTCTATTGCCTTTCCCATAGTGTTTTGATGTGAGATAATTCCTCTTAACTTGTGCCCTGTGAAAGACCCTTACTGTTTTAGAATTGATGCAGTGACCAGCACATCTTTCCAAAGCAGAGTGGTGAACTGTGTCCAGTTGAAGTTTATTAGATGCTCCATATAGTTTAGTCCTACACAAATCATGGTTTTCCACACAGAAACTATCTATCATCTTTGGTCATATGTATGTAAAATTCAGCTATGGCATCATCATACGTCCAATCCCCCACATCTTCCTCAAATGAATGAGATGGAGCATACTCAGCATTGCTATGTAGTTCGGTTATTAGGTCATCAGGAGGATCTCTGATGACTGATGTGGAAGTTGGTTCTTCACAGTCTTTGACAGAGTCAATAGTTGAAACAATCTCTTGTACCACGCTTTGTGCTGGTAAAAAATAAAATAAAACACAAATAATTAATGTCACAATGCAAATCTTACGTAGTCTCAGCCTGTGCATCCAATTCTTATACTAGCTGAATCTACCCATTGACAAAAAATACTGTGCATCCTTGGATGAAGAGACAGGCAGACAAAAGAGGATGAGTGTACCTGGCAATCGGTGAGAGACTTGATAGTTCAGAGAGTGGGGCACATCCTGCATGGATATCTGGTGGTTGTATAGGTTCCTTTTCAAGTGTAGTGTTTTGGTCTCCTCCAGGAGGCAAACCCTTCTGCAGTGCTTCCCTACCTTTTGACAGTGAAGAGGACATATGAATAAATCATACCTTTATCTGAATCAGGATTCACTAGAAATTATTTAAAGATTATTAAAATACTACTAATGGGGTGTGTATTTTTTTTTCTTCCACGTCTTGATCACATTGTATCAGTTTATGTTTACATCTGTGTGTTCTTTATAACACATAATACACATCCTTGAATTCCACTCATCAAAACCTGGGAGTGAGCGACATTAACAGTACTTGGTAGAAACAATATAAACTTAGCCAACAATGGAGATTGTCTCTACAGGCATACCACAATAGCAAATTTGTATAATGTAATCAAGCTGTGCTTATTGGTACCAAGTGCTAAAGAAGGATAAAAAGGATGTTATGTGTTCATAGTTAAGCCTAATTTATACTTCTCCATCTGCAAAGGGACGGATGCACGCAACGCCAGTATTCGTCCTTTCGAGGGCTCTCCAGCAGGCTCGCAAGAATGGATGGAGTCTAACTCTCTTTTCTAAACATTCATTCGACGAGACGGAGAATACAAGCTTATGATTGGTCAGAACGCTGCTGTTGTCAACTGCGCTGACATTGCACCCTCAAAATCATAAAGAAAGCTGAGGATATCTAGCGGCAGACAGGGAGAAGCTACAAGAATACCTCGCAGAAAAACTCTACAAATTTAAACGTTTATTCATCCATGAATGGAGTGAAAAGATGCACAGCAAGTGTTTTATTCGTGGGCGGGAATGACGGGAAATGTGGATTTAGAGGTGGCGAGCGCATAAAGAGGTGGAGGAGGATAAGGGACAAATTTGTCCGTGTTATAAAGTCTGACATGACAGGACACCACAGAACAGCGCTTCGCCCTCTGGTGTCCTGGCAGGGAATTGTTTTGTAACAGTCCTCAGGAGATGGAAGTCTGAAGGCAAAACGTCTTCGTCTGTGCGTCTCTCCCTCGTGGAGGTGATGGAGACGTATGAATTAGGCTTTACTGCAGATCAAAAATAACACTGGATTTTTTTTCAGTGATTTTTACTGATGGTCATAGCCTATTCAGTCAAATGTAAAATGACGGCCTAATCATCGCATATTCGGTAATATTTAATCTTAATTTGTTCTAATTAAAAGGCACACTATGCAACTTTTCCATATTTTTAAATAATTATCTATTCTGTAAAGCACTTAGAATTTCCTTTGTGTTTGAAATGTGCTATACAAATAAAGCTGCTTTGCCTTGCCTAGAGCCACTACAGGGTTAATGAAATGTCACTCAGATCCCACCACCCTCTGTAGACTTTATGACTATATCTTTATATTGATATAACTGGCCAAATTGCTATGATAGCGATTAGCCGCTATGCTAGCGACATGTTGCTCTGTCTCTAAGCGGTTATTACGTGTATTCTCACAAGTTTGCTCAATCTGAGAGCCTCTGAGTAAATGTGCTGCTCTAAACTTTGCATTTGGGTCCTGGTTTTTAATTATTTGGGGCCATTCATCACCAATGGAGTTCTGTTTATCCACTGTGCTTGTGCGGAGAGACGAGCCAAACCCCTCCCTCCCGTGTAATCGGGAAACATCTACGGACAGCCTGAGTGGCCAAATTACCTCAAACGTATTGTAAGGGTTTCAATAGCAAACTATAGGGGTACCGTTTTATTCATTTTTTTCCACTCTGGTTCGCTATGCTAGTAAATACTCCGTTACGAGCGATTCTGTTAAAAAAGCTAAGAGTTTGTAAGGCGTGGGCTACGGCGACAGTTGTCTGAAAATAATACTAATAAAAGAGCAACCAGAGACTCTGAGTCATTACATTATAATCGCTGATATGAGGCAATACTGTTAGATTCCAGCCATGTTTGCCCTGATAACTAATAACTCCATGGTGCATGACCCATGTGATCTTCAGTAGATGCAATTACATCATCATAAATTTTGTTAAACATGATAGATTATTTTTCTCTGGACAAGAAATATACAATATTGTCCATCTCTAGAGGAAATTTAAAATTTTTACATTAATTATGAATATATAATTAAAGTGCCTGTGGGACATTTTATACACTTCTAGCTCTCAACTCACTAATAGGACAACAATGTCAACTTGAATGCCCTGACTGGAGCAAAGGCTGCAGCCACACAGTGACCTACACTAATTTTTAAAATATAAGGAGAAAGTCAAAACCTTCAAACCTAGTGTTTATGAAAGGATCCTGCCCTTATGTTATTAACAGCTTTAACTTAAAAGGTGAAAGTTTAAAGAATACATGATTATATATCCCAAGATAACTTATATTTTGTTATTTACATGTGCTACTTAAATCCAGACACGTGTAAACAATATTTCCATGCAATTTTTGACAAACTGTGGACTGTGTTCTATTTATTTATAGGACCTGTGAGTTGCAAAACAACTGTGCTCAGGACATCTGTCTTCTCTCTATTTGGGACTGGGTCCACGTGGCAGGGGTGAGGTGGTGCTCACTCCTCACCCCTGCCACGTGGACCCAAGGAATAAACCATCAACCCTGCTCAATGGTCAACTTTCCTCGCGGGGTCACCCATAGAGACAGTGGGATGTTTAAATATAATTTAAAGTTAAAGTCCCATTAGTTGTCACACACACTGATGTGTGTGCAAAATTTATTCTCTACATTTGACCCATCCCCTGGGGGAGCAGTGAGCTGCAGACAGAGTCGTGCTCAGGAACCATTTGGTGGTTTAACCCCCAACCCAACCCTTAATGCTGAGTGTCAAGCAGGGAGGCATTGGGTCTAAGTCTTTGTTATGATCTGATCAGGAATTGAACCCTAATTTCCCAGTCTCAGGGTGGACACTCTACCACTAGACCACTGAGCTAGTTATTTCACGCAGCTAGCACATTTAAAAGATGTTTAAAATAAATCCCAATCTAATCTAAAAAGTAAAAGATATGCACATTTCATAACTTACTTAAATATTGCTCATCAGTCTCCACATGAACATTAGTGGCTGCAAAAAGGGATGACTGCAGGGAGAAAAATAGGTTATTAATCTGCAGCAGATTTTTCTGTAACACATCTATGACAGGCTACTCACCAATTGTGAAATCCTTCTTGGTCGTTTATTTGAGCCATCTTCATTACTGGTCCTCCTCCATCGTTTTCCAGGTTTTCGTCTGGTCATTTTGACACCCTAATCCTATATAAAAACAGACACAAGTTACTGGAATATACAGTGGAACTTTTTGCAAAAGTTAAAATATTTTATAATGAAGCATCAAGTCTTTGTTCAGTAAAGGGGTTTACATCTAATCAAATCTTTAATAAACAAAAATATACTTTCTAACAAGTGTCAATTCAGGTCTCTACAAGGTAGGGCTGGGCGATGTGGCCTAAAATCAATATCACAATATATTAAGGAGTTTACCTCAATAATGAAACGTTTAACCGTTTCAGCTCAGTCCACTTGCGTACCGTTTCAGTATATTTTTTTTCGTAAAATAATGCATTTTTATTGTGTGATTTAAGTGCAGCAGATGAAAGTTTCCAGGCGAGTTTCCGCACAGCCGCTGTATTTAGTGATGCATGATGGCTGCATGTGCCCGATCTCCGTTTAAGAAATGTGATCTGCTAATTCTGATTAACGCATTTCAGAACGGACAAAACCAGCTGGCTGTCGCTGCTACTGGAGCCTGTAAAGACGCTTAACGGAGTGTCGCGCTGCCCCTCTGTCCCTTCTCACACTGCAGGCACGCAGCGGCTAAATGTAAACAAACACATCAGCCAAACCTTTTCCCTGGAAAAACTGATGTAAAGTTTTCATCCTACAACAAAAATGCTGAGGAAGCACATTATTTTATACAACTTTTAAAGAAGAAACTCTGGGCGGTGTGAGTTGAGTTTGTAAGGCTTGCTGCAGAAATAAAAACACGGACCATCAAAAGTCAAACACAACACTTGTTTGTATGAACGTGACCCTCATAGCTGCACAAATAACCTGTCAAATAATTAAAGACATCATGCTAGATCAGCAGCCTGTGATGACACCTCATTCTGCTCACTGTAGGAGCCACTTTAAATATTACATAAATAGATATAATAATAATATTCCTAAAATTGATCGAACCGAGCTCTTAAAAACACTGACCGAACTGATTAGGATTTTAGGGTACCAATACAACCCTATTAAGTAGTATTAACAGTCTGGACACCATTAAAAACAGCTTAAAACACTTTTAGTTAAAGCTGCTTTTACTAAAATATTTTGTTTTCTTGTATCTAATTGGAATTTGTAATCATCTTTCATTTGTTTTATGATATCTTACTTTGTTTAGTTTTAATAATTGTAAAATAAACGGTCTTGATCCTTTCCTACCATCATTTTCATCTCTCAAATAATATAAAAATTCACAATTTAATTTTCATAAATTTTTCTATTATATTTACTCTAAACAAGCTGGCCAGCGTGTCCAGCAACATAACAATGCCACAATTAAACGATTTCACTTAAAGTAGGAAGATTTTACCTGCTGTGGTCTGGTTCTGGAGTCTGACTCAGTCTCTGTGCAGAATTAAACAGAGACTGGCTGGCTATCAGACATGCTCCGAGATGCTCTCTACAGCTCCTCAGCGTGCTGATAGCGAGCTGCACTGATCATGGTGTCCACGTTTGAGACAACGCTCAGATGCGAATCTTGTTGTTACCTCCGCAGTCTCTGTGCATAACGTTTAAAATGTCTTCACACATGCATGCGTCGGGGTAATTACAGTCTGTCAGTATGACCAACAGCCTTAAGATTTCTCTATCAAAATAAACGGCCAAATACGATTACCGTGACTCCAGCCTACATTTAACCTTTTTGCCTTCTTGTGAAGGTTAGCATGGCAGCCCTTTACACAACAAGAGTGTACCATTTTCTGCAGTTTAACAAACTCACAACACAAAGCAACCAACGCTTCAGTTGTTTAGACATCTAGCTATCCCAACATGCAGCTGTACAGCACCCAATACGTCGCTATTGGAGCATTAAATGTTATTAGAAATAATATATAACTGTTTATTAAGACTAGGTAACTTCAGTAAGTAGGATAGAATGATCGAGAATGGTTGGGGGGGGGGGGGGGGGTATATGTAACGCTTTATGTATCAGTAAACATACATGCTTTAGCTAGGTGTGGCTAGGCATCTTAGATAGGTGATCGCGGACGTGGTTGAATATATTTAGATCATTTTTATGCAACGCAGTGACGTTACTGTAGTAGAACGAATCCTACCTTGTATGTGTTTAAGAGCGCATAATTTAGGAAAACAAAAACAATTTACTTACTTTTAGTTGTTGTTCTTGCGCTGTGATGTTTCTCCCAAGTCAGGTCAGAGATCTATGTCAAATCTCGCGAGAGTATGTTGTTCTAGATTAGAATCCCGCCCTGTAGGGGACAGCATTATGTCACGTGACACTGGCCTCTAAAAGACCATAGCATGAAAACAGGTTTCAAGCGGTTTCGAGTGCGGGAAAGTCCGAGAGAAAAAAAAAGTGAGCAAGAGAGAACTGTCCGTTGGTCGGTCGTTGAAGCTTTACCTTTTGTTCCAGCAAGGTAAGAATCAAAAATATATATTAGTTACCATGGCATGTAACACAAATAACGTTGCAAAGATGTCAAATATTTTTCAGTTGAGAAGACGGAGAGGTGGATGGCGTTAGCATAAATCTTTGATAGTTAGCTTCCACAACTCACATTAATTTTGTGGCCTTGACATTAAAGGCTTCCTTCATGAAATTTGCTATTTTGCGCTGCTTCGTTTGCTCGTAACTCTGTGAGCTTTACACTAGAGTAATGATACTTATATAGTTTGAAAGATGAGAGTTTGGGCTTTAATATGAAGTACTATTATTTGAAAAGGACGAGTTAGCATTGTCGCTACTGTGTTTTTCTTGATATGAGTATTTAGCATATTTTATGTTCTCTTCATTTGGCGCCTTGTGATCACATGATTACGCAGAGCATTCTGGGATGTGCACAGAGACAGAAATTGTGGCGGACTTACAAGTGTAAACTAATGTGAAATGTGCAGATAAGGAGGGGATTTAGGTGAAAGTGTAAAACATGTCAAAATCCCAAGGATGCGGAATATACAGGGATAATAAAGACGCAAGGGACAGCTACATGTACAAAATCCACATTATGAACAATTTTGATCCATATGAAAGACCCAAGACTTGAGCGCTGAAAATAACTTGTTGCTGCAGTAGCTGTAACATAAGAAAAATACATCATGAACATGTTATAAACAGGAAAAAAACATGATTTTCATTGGAGTGGGTCATAAATATGTCTAAGAATTCCACAGTCATTTTACTCAGACCGTTGGACGTGGCATAGCTAACTGGCTGTGATAAGAAAAAGTGGAAGCTGAATTTATGTTTTAATTAACAGAATGGAAAACAAAAAAATGCCAGGCAAAAAAAGGTTACGGGTTCCAACCCAGAAAATGAAGGACCTGCAGCACTCCCCTCTGCTAAATGAACAATCTGGTAAGTGTCTAAATAATACTGTCAACTGTTAGTGTGTCTGTTATATAGGCTTTATGTTGTGCTGCAATAATCATTACATATATGATTTAAAAATTAGGGGTGCACCGATCAATCGGCATCGATGTCTTTGAGCAGGGGCTGATCAAAATCGGTCCATATTTCCATGTGAAAACAATTTTTATGGTAGGGCTTTGGCATGTGATATATAATTACATATTGGCTAACTGGATGCGCTAACTGATGACAGTCTTTGAAGAGCATGGAGGTCAGCTCTGTGCCAAATGCAGCAGCTCTTGCTGTAGAGCGCAGCATGTAGATGACAATGTGCTTGTAAAAAAACATGAGGTTACGCTATCCAGACCTAGTCTGGGTATAAAGAGTTGGATTATATGCAGAAAAACATCCTCGGTAAAATCTGCTGGGTGAGTCTTGTCTGTGCTTGTTAAAGAGCAAGTAACGCCCTAAATACACTTTTTTTTTTGCTGAGAACCTGTATAGATGAGTGTCTAATGGTGCTGTGCACATGTGTAATCATAAGTGTGGCAGTTAAGTGCAACTTACTTTAAATTTAATATTTCAGCCCAAAACCATAATTATATCTCCATCTTCAGGTTAAAAACTCTGCTCCACATGTATGTGGAACCAGCTGTGGCTGATGGCTAAGCTGAAAAACGTGTCGTTATCAGCAAATTACTACGTGGCTGCACTGCACTGGTCTCCAGGTGAGGCAGCTGCACCTCCACCTGGCTCAGCCACTCACCTGCCGATATGACACGTTGGCGCTCTGAGCCGCTTGTCTCTTTAAAAAAAATGCCCTCCTCCCCTTTTTCATGCGCCGGGTGGGGGGGGGGGGGGGGGTCTACTACTGCCTCAGCGCTGCTCTCTCGGTCCACCAGGAGACACCTCTTTCAGAGGCGTTTTCCTAACAGAAAGTGTGGATGAAATACGTCTCCACCCGTGCATTGATCCTCGCTTTAATCTGGATTTCCCCAAATGCAGTTGTTTTTTTTTAATACATGATGAACACACAGGATTATGAAACATTTTGGACATCTCCTGTGATTTAGTTTGAACAAATTTCCCTAACAGTTCTTACCAGTTTCTCTGATTGATTAAGATGATCTAGCCTGAAATTAGCACCTCTCTCTTGCTCCGTGCTGCACTGTAGCACACTGCGGAGGGTCAGATTGGCGTGAATCAGCTGATCTGAGTGATGATAAATAAATGTCAAAACAAAAATCGAAATCAGCCACTCAGGTTTTTCTCAAGATTGGTGATTGGGCAAAAAACTGCATCGGTGCACCCCTACAAAAGTAACTGTGTAAGTTGTTGTGACTAAATAGAAAATGTCTTAGTTGCTTTCTTTCTTCCCCAGGGTGTCATGTATTTGTCAGATGGGAAGACGGTTATACTGGCAAAATCTTTACAGGCGTTGACATTTTGTCAAGAGATGAGGCTCCTGTGCAGCTGCAAGATCTTAGATCAGGAGATCATGTTTTAGCAAAGTGGTCAGATGGTAAATTTTATAGGGCCACTGTTGAATATATTTCAGGGGAGGATCATTCTAAGCTGCCAAAAAGCCACCAAACTTCACAGAAGTCCTTTTTGAAAATGTTAAAAGAGAATGTGCCATTACACTCATCAGAGTCCAACACCATTATAAGAAGCCCACTGTCTGAACATGGTGAGGAAATCCCAGCCATGAATGCATCACCTGACGCGGGGCATGCAACAAGCCGCAGCTCCGGTGGCCCACCATCCTACAGGTAGGCTTACAATAATAATTACAAAATCTTGATTAAGTTTAGTATTCAGGGTTTTTCCTGGCTCAAATTGAGGCAGAGGTGGTACCATCCTGACCATGCACCAGCACATGCGTACTCTGTGCATTTAATTAGCCTCACTTTTTGAAAGGCTAAATATTTTTCCGTTAAATGTTCTAATCTAAGCTTCTGTTGATTGATTGAATATTCCATTTCACAACATTTCAAATGAAACAAAACTGGTTTGCTGCTAAAAAATATGAAATAAAACAAAATTATCAGGCTGAAATAAGACTCTTATTATAAAACGCTCAATAATGTGCACTAGATTGGTGTTTAGTTCCCTTTTTCCATCTTATATTTGTAGTTAAATTATTTTTTAATATTTGACCTACATTTCAGTAATATTTTAGGTTTGTATTAATAACACTCATCTTAGTCAAAATAACACATAAATATATCCAGTAAAATATAATGCATGTCATTAACATGCATTTGTATTGGAAATGGTAATAACATTTAATTTATGCTGCTAACAATGTAATGGTGGCATGTCTATTATGTACAGGTTGGCAATAATCCAGTTTAAATTATGTTCAAAGATAGAAGCATTTGTGAATTATATATTACAACAGCTTGCCGTACATCCGGCACCAGCAGTAATGTGACTCGTATCTGCAGCGGTTCTGATCCGTAGCGCTGCAGGATGCAGAATAAACAGGATGGTGGGGACTTTTCATCCACTTGTAGAGTTTAGTCTTTCTTAGTTTTACCATCATCATATGTTTTTCTGTGCGTCACTTGATCGTGAGACTGATCCCAAACTTTGGACCGGTTCTGCCTTTGCTGGTTCCTTTATTTTCCTCCACTGCATCCAGATGACCACACTGTGTGCCAGTAAAATGCATTTTTCTTACACGTAACTTACTTTTTTTCAAGAAAGTTCTGGGGAAAATAGTAATTCAAAGATGTTGCACCAGTGCTACATTTAAAAGTAGACAGACACGCACAGACAGTTATTTTCATCGGACTGTACAGCCCTGCTCTGATTTGGAAGAGCCTGGGGGAAAATCAGGACGTTAATAGCACCAACCATAGATATGTACCACCAACTAGCGAGAAAAGCCATTTTTGATTTTTTTCTGTAGTGGTGTTTGCACTTTTCGGTGCACCGCTGCTGATACAGCGCCCTATAGTGACGCAACGCTGCAACTGCAGTTAAAATAACATCCATAAAGTTGGGGGCAGAGTGAAATCAGGCTGGGGCGGTCCAAAATTTGCTGGAGGCGGCCGCCACGCAAATTTGAATGCAGGAAAAACCCTGGTATTGAAATGTTGTTACGGCTTTACCTGTCCAACCTGGGTTGTAACAAATGTTCTGTGTCTAAGTATAAAACGATTATTTTATAGGTAATTCTGCCAGTTTTTTGTAATCATTTGCCATGTGTCTTTGTGTTTACTGAAATGTAATTTATGGTTCAATATAAATTTATGACAGCTCCAACACCATCAATACATCACCCTACGGAGACCATACACCCAGCCCATCACCAAAAGGCACGGACACTTCTCGTCCATCGCCCTACGGAGTCCATACAGCCAGCACATCATCGTATGGCCTTATCCACACCTCAGGTCCACCTCCCTATGGAGACCGTACACTCAACCCATCACCATATGGCCTCAACACTTCTCGTCCATCTCCCTTTGGCAGCTATACACCCAGCCCATTACTGTATGGCCTCAATACCTCAAGTCCATCTTCCAACAGAGGCCACTTACTCAGCACGCAACTATATGGCCATGCCAACCCAGGTCCATCACTCTATGGAGGCCAAACATCCAGCCCATCACTATATGACCTTGACACCCCTGGCCCTTCACCTGCAGCTGGTTTGCCAGGTAGTGGGGTCAGTCTATCTGACAGTGGAAAAGCATCTGACCAGCCACAAGACAGGAGAGATTCAGGCAGCTCATCTGATCAGGGCAACATTCCTCCTGGTCGCCAGGAACAAAATGCATGGACACCATGTGATAGATGTAAGGGGGAGGTTGAAAGAATTCTACAACAAAAGAGAAAGATCGATGAAGTCCTCTCAAGAATAGGCAAGTTATTATTTTTTTTTCCAATTTGTTCATGATGTTATTTTTTTCTTATAACGTATCAGTGATTGGAAATTGAACACTTTATGTATTTGAATTATCTTTTTAAAAAGACAGAAAAATATGCTATTGCATTACACCTGGTGTGCGGCCCAGGGGCCATTTGCGGCCCTGGGAATGATTTTGCATGGCCCTTACTAGCATTTTTAGAATTATGCAATTAAGTCTGTTTAATGTTCTATGTGCTGCTGACCTCTACTTGGGACGTTGTGGTTCGGTGGGCAGAATACTTCGAAGACCTCCTCAATCCCACCGACACATCTCCCAGTGAGGAAGCAGAGTCTGGGGACTTTGGGTTGGCCTCTCAAATCTCTGGTGCTGAGGTCACTGAGGTGGTTAACAACCTCCTCTGTGGCAAGGCTCCAGGGGTGGATGAGATCCACCCGGAGTTCCTTAAGGCTCTGAATGTTGTGGGGCTGTACTGGCTGATGTGTAGGGTTGGGCATTTAGCATCGATTGGAACCAGTTCCAACTGTTCATTTTTCCCGGAATCGCTCAACGTTTAATATTTCAATTCCTAGAATGTCGACCGGAAGAGGAATCCGCGGCCAATCTCCGTGAATAATAAACGTGATCTGCAAATGATATCACAATGATAGTTAACGTGATGAGCGGAACCAGGACCAAAATTCCAGGTGGGCCGGCTGAGGTCGGTGTTTTTAGTCGTCTCTTTGTTTTTTTCGGAACTGTGTCCAGTCATGATGTTGCAGCTCGGCGGGCAGGGACGACCACTGGAGTTATTTGCTCTTTAAGAGGCTTTTATTTAGTAGTTTTATCAATGAAACACACACACTGCTCCGTTCAAACTTCGTGTTTGGAGCTGCCGTGAGACTCTTCGAGAGATGTTCAAGGACACTACGTCAAAAGCAGTTCTCTGATACACCAAAGGTGCGTTCAGTGACAACTTGTAAATAAGACTTCTCTTAACAAAAACTGTTCACATGAACTAAACATGAAAAAAAAACTCAGATAGAAGTACTAACATTTATTTAGGAAAAGGATGTGTTTTGCATCTCCTTTGATGGAGTTTGGTGGACTGCCTCGTTGACCGACATCTGTAGCAGTGAGTACCGTCATGGCTTGCCAGGCTAGAAGAAACTGAATCGATACCATCACGCAGGTATCTAGTAAATACTCAATACCAACGTTAGATCGATACTATCGATATTTTAGATCAATCCGCCCAGCCCTAGTGAAAAGTGACCATTTGTGTACAGACACCTCCATGCTGCAGCAGCATTCAGTCCAAACAGAAAGTTAAATGTAGCCGCTATCGATAACTGTTAACTCAAAATACTCGACGACGTCGTCTCATTCCAAAAGCTTTATTCCGCCGCCATTTTCTCCCCGCACACCCAACAACAACTCCCGGGCTAACAGAACTCACGCGATATAACAGAAAATAACAAGTTAACAATCTCCCTCTTTATTTTTAAAAATAAATTAAAAGTATAAACACATCCCTGTAAACATTTGTATATGTATGTGTATATATATATTCATATAAACAAAAAAAAACATTTCAACGCGCTTTGCTTTACTTAAAGCAAACTATCATAGCACACAATAAACAATAGTGCATTTTAATGCAAGGACAACTTCGTAAACAAAGGATTACAGTATCCAGAGTCCTTGATCTAGTGCCTTTAGAAGGGTCAAAGGTGATAAGTTAACATAACAATCTAACAGATTTTAAACATTAAAACTCAACAGAAATGGTTCAGAAGGGAAATTAAAAATTTCACAACTTTGTGTGTGATTTATAATTGTTATTACTATTATTATTATTAATATTATTATTAATTATTTATTGTGGCAGAAGCTGGTGTGGTCCACCAAGGAGAAGCTGCTCTAGCATGATGATTTTAATTATTCTACAGGTTATTGTTCAGCCTTCTGACGCTCACACACACACGAGTGTTAGTGAGCGACTGCTGAAGCTCCGTGTGTGTTTTTATTTCTGCAGTGAGACAAACTCACCTCACACCATCCAGAGTTTGTTCTTTAAAGCTTCTATTAAATCCACCGTGTTGACGTCTTTTAACACGTTTCCTCTACACTGCAGGAGTTAAAGTTTACACCACGGAGTAAAAGTTCAGCAGACGTGTTTGTTTATATCTGGGTGATGGGAGGGGGACTCGGTGCTGCACACAGACAGCTGGTGTGATCAGCTCTGAAAAGCGTTGATCACAATTTGCAGATCACGTTTATTTTTCTAGGAGATCGGCCGCGGATTCCTCTTCTGGTCGGTATTCTAGGAATCGAAATAATAAACTTTGAAAAATTCCGGGAGAAACTTAACAGTTGGTCCCGGTTCCAATCGATGCCCAACCCTAGAACTAACATAGCTAACTAACTAAATTAAGTTAAAAAAATGTTTAAGTCCTTTTCTTGAGGAGTACTTGTTGATTGTAAGCAGCAATAGACAGCTTATTAGCTTGACTCCCATATTCCATTCAGAACTGACAAAAGCTCCTCAGATGAGAAGCAAAACGTCTTCAAGAGTCCAAAAAAGTCCTGGTCCTTTAATGTGAACACTTTTGGGTCGTGTAGTCATTTATTTGGTTGTTTTAAATTGCCTGCCAATAAAGCTTTGTAACAATTTTAAAGAGTATCATGACATTTTCTCACCCTTGCATTGTTTCTATACCTCTCCTTCTCAGATCCAGATCAGCTCGGAGAGCTTCAGACTCTTTGTGATCTCATTGGAGTAAGGCATCGTGACAGCCCATCCTCTCCATTAGGACAGCAGGAGCTCTTTCCAGGGAGTGGTGTGTTCATCTCATCGTTCCGCCTTGCTGCCATGAATCAAGCATCCAAACCACATAGCATGCGCCTGTTTCATGCACTTTTTGATCATTTATTTACTGTCGAGGAGTGTCAAAATGCAGTCCCCTTTGGTCGCCCTGGCAATAACCCCTCTGGAAAGGAAGGAAAGCGGGTCCTGGACCATAAAAAAGTGGATGCAATCCTTAGTAAGTGTTTTTCAAAATTAGGTTTAAAGGCCAAGGTACTGTGGATAATGATTATATTCAGTCTCCAATTGAACAATATCACACTCGAGGTCATGCGTTGTTGCTGAATATCAGCACTGGTGTGATCATCTACGGCACTCAGCCTGCGGCCTCGTGCCTACAACCAAATCACGCCAGTGCTGATATTCAGCAACAACGCATGACCTCGAGTGTGATATTGCTTTTATACAACAGTTCTACCTGCTCATTTTTTATAACAATAAGCAACAACAGATTATGATTTGTTCATTTATTTAATCATTTATCAGGCTATGCCAACACAAATAGTACCAACACAAAACGGAGACTCAGACAAGGCTGTTGCTAGGCGACAAACATTTTCTACAATAACTGTTAGAACGGGTGTGCACAGTGGAGTGATACTGTTTGTGAACAGTCCCAGTGCTGTTATAGTCCAATATCAACTCTTGAAGTCTCTTGACCAGTCAAGTCACTCGGTCGGAACTAACTGTTGTATAATGGTAGATAATGTCACCTCGGTCAGAAATGTAGAAATATTGTGTTTCAAGCTGTTTTTTTACATTTATCAAAAAAAAAAACTAATCAACCGTGACGTCACTAAATGCGCCAGCTAGTTTGACTAAATAGCTGTATAAGACCCCAAATAATATCAAATCACCTCCAAGACTCTCCAAACTAACGGGAATAGTGCTTCTGATTCATAACACAGCATTGGAAAAATGAAAACGTTTTGTGTCCTAATTTAGAACGCCGCCCTTTGGGTGCTTGGGCGACTCCCATTATATTGTTTTACATTATTTGGGAATTGATCTAATATCTCCTAGAAAACTCCAAATAGCACTAAAGTTGTCAGGGTGAGTAAATGAACAAATTGCATGCTAGAATTAAGGTCCAAGTTGCAAAAAAACAGTACACACCTTTTAAGTTTTTTCCAGTTAAGTATAACATACTTTATCCTCATCTGTGTTTCATATTTATGGCCTAATGAAATAAACATGCTGATTTTCAATTATTTTACCTGAAATAGATGTCACACTGTTATGTCCTTTTAACCTGAAGTGTGGTTGTGTTAGCTGTCTTTTTGTCTAATTACTCATGCCAGACTTTGATGTTCTTGTCTTATAGCCTATGTCCTGAGATGTGCCACTCTACCTGGCTGGGAACAAATTGAAGAGGCCAAGCTCAAGAAAGCCTTTGTCAACAAATGTAGGGCCAGAGCAGGTTCTAAGGAGTAGGATACTGCTATGATATACAGTATGTGGTCTGCTTTTTCTCTTATCCATTGTTGTTTTTTTCTTGTTAGTCATGGACCATAAGTGTTGAGACATTTCCTGCCAAGTAGGGTTGCAGGGATTACCTGGTTTGACTATTGACCACAAATGTCTCCAACGCGGCCTGTAAAACAAAAAAGACAACAGCGCGACTTGCACCGACAAAAACAAAAGTGAAACTGAACATGCAGAACATTGACAAAAACCATTAGGACTGCTCCTTTTCCAACTAGAAAGCGGTTGAAGTCTCCTGTGTAAGAATTTATCTAATATATCTGAAATATTCCCCACACGAGAGACTTTAACCACTTTCTAAATAGAAATGGAGCGATCCTGATGGTTGTTATCACTGTTCTGCTTTTGCTGCGTAAGCACATTCAGTTCCACTTTTATTTTTGTCCGTGCAAGTCGCGCTGTTGTCTTTTTGTTTTTTTATAGGCCGCATTTGAGAAGTTTGTACGGGGGGTTATCCGTGGTTAATAGTCAAACCGGTTAATTCCTGCAACCCTACTGCCAAATTAGTTTTGGGATTTGGTTGTACTCGCGTTATAGGCAGTATTTTCTCGTGTTTGTTTTCACATGGTCCAATACCAAGTGGATTTGTTCCAGGTTTCTCTGCAGGATTGTTTGTTGCTGACAGTCTGGAAGTATTGATAGTATGTCATTCTGATTGACCTTAGAATTATCTATCAGTTGTTAAAAAGTCAGGTGTAGTTTTTTTTTTAAATATATATTAATCCTTGTTTGTAAAGTTAACATGGTTAAGGCCTGACTTCAAAGCAAGGGGGTTAGTAGACAATGACATAACTTTTATTTTTGTATTGAATTTAATTTTTATCTTATTTATTTTATATTAATGTATTTTGTTGTAATGGGTTTAAGAAAAGTCAATACGCTGCTACCCAAATATGAATGGTGTTCTAATTGTGCTAACTAAATAAAGTGTTAAGCGCTTAAGTATTTTTGTATTTTTTACAGTCAGTTATAATCACTACAGACTTACAATTACATTCTTAATTTCTTAAATTTCTCAAATATGGCTCAGATGGTTCTCATAGATGGCTTTGGTAAAATAATTAAGAGAAATAATGAAGACACGGAAGAGACATTGGACACACAATGATGAGATCTCATTTAGGGCTCATTCTTCTCAGATTTGTCTCATAAATTTCTCAGATTCATCTCATGTTATTCTCCTTAATCCCCTTTTAAAATAACAGACGTAATTGAGATCAGAACCATACCATTATGAGATCTCTTCTGTTTATCCCAGTTCTAAAGTATTGCTCAAACAGGTCTCTCAACTCAACCTCATTTGTCTTACTGATGTCTTTTCTCTTTTTAGCTTATATCTTGCTCCTAAGGGACCCTTAGGAGAAATTATTCAGAAACAAATGATCACAGAATGAAACACACAAGAGATTCTCAAAATAATCTCAAGAGATGAGATTGAACAACTGATGAGCAACACATTTTTTCCTATGGGTCTGTTTTCATGAAAAATAATGACTGAATAAAAGCAGCTAGCTAAATCTGCCCACTTTTTGAAGTTGTAATTTATTACATTTCTTTCATCTTTTTATAAAACAAGCCTACTTTTTTTAAATCAAGGCTTAATGTTTTACCAAATTTATCTCCAATAGTGCATGCTATATTAGCATTTCCACAGTATGCTAGCTGTAGCCTTTGGCTCCTCTTTCTGCCACTTTCAGCAGAAACTTGCGAGCTACTGCTTGAAAAATGTGACTTAAATCAAGAGGGTTAATTCTTCAGGCAATCTAGACGACTGTTTTTCACATTTGTCTTAGTTACCTCTTTTGTTTTTTTTTAGCTTCCTTGCACTAACCTGTTGCTAGCATCCCTTGTACCAGCCATTAGAAAAGTCAAAATAAGCAAAGCTCACTCGTGAAGAAAAATCTTGGTGACATTTTACAATGAGAGTCCCATTACTGACGTTACTTATTGCATTAGTAAACTATTACATTAAGTATACACAACAGACCGTAGGCCCTCAGAGCAGGGGGTGGGGGAATGCTGTCAAATGTGAGAGCGGGGGGACATTTCGCCCAGAATTGATAACAGCAGCACAACTCTACCACTGACTTGCAACATGGGTGTTTTATCTCAACAACTAACACAAACCTGGTGGAGCTTCTATCATGTGGAGAAGTTGCTAATGTTAAAGGTTAGCTTAAAGTAGCTTGCTACATTCCCCGTTGTGAGTCAAGATGGGTGAGTCAGTGAATGTTAAGTGACAGTCTGACGTAGAGCTGTCAGGATTTTCAAATCCTAGAGTTTCACCGTCTATTTCCTATCAGAGGCTAATGCGAAGATAGGTGTAGGAGACTTTTTTCATGTTCAGCTTGCATGAAAAACTAAGTGACCACTTATGATCAGAAAAAACACATTTATAAAACGGTTTTTCGGTCAACCACATTTTTAAGGGCACTTACAGTTAACAATGGTAACATTAATAAAGGGACCATTTCTTTATTAATGCTTAATGATGGATTAAGTAACCCTAATAAAGGGACCCTTATTGAAAAGTGTTACCAAAATCTCTCTGTATTGTTTGTAAATAGAAAAACCGTGCATGCAAGGCCTGAGTTTTTTTTTTAGCTCTCTACTTAAAAAGCACACACAGTGTGTGAATACACTCTCTCTCACAGCTTGCACACAAATTGTATGCAAAGGCCCTGTGCTGTTTATGTTTCCATGTGAAGGGTCCTCACTGCCACCACACATGCAAAACGGTAGGCTGCTCGCAGGGTTCATCGGGTCCTTTCTCCCACAAAGAGCAAGGTTGCTGAGTTTTTATGTAAATCAAGTGCCTTTCGCCCCGCGCTACTTTGAATCTTGATTTGCATGTGGGTCCATCGTGTTGCAGAATGAGGGACACCTTAGCAAATAAAAAAAAAGGATAATCAGTTCAAGGTGTGGATGTGATTTCTCGACAGTCTATCGTGATCTTCCAGTCAAGCGCTGCTAAACATATATTGACAAAGGACAGCATTGTGTTCTGTGGTTTGAATTTTGTTCTCAGTTATATTCCTAATGTTTAGTATAATTTTAGATATTAACGCCTCCTTTGACAGTGGCACATCAGCCTATATCTTTTCTAGTAAACACTTTTCTTATGCCGTCAGTTCAAGCTCATATAAACATATCGCAGAAATGTTCAGCACTTCAGAATCTCAGTCAAAACAGATTAATGTGAACTCTATGATGGGAATGTTTATCACGCCTGTATAATTGGGTAATATATTTATAAATGAATATTCTGATTTCAGTGTGTTTGACCACAGTAGTCTTTCAACTATAATGTTTAGGATAAAAACTAAATGACGTTACATTTTTATATGTTGGAAAATAATTTCCAAATGTTGAAATCTAAATCAATTTGCTAGCCTATTCATTGCTAACATGCTAATTCTGAAAACTAAAGTAGTATTTCAAAATAAGTCTGGATAAATTATCTCACCAGTACATTTGATGTTAGGAGTGTGAGCTGATTTAACTTTGAATCAATCATTAATATGCAGAGAACCCCCAGTGATAAATTATTGAACCTACTCTTAGCTGTTAAGTCGTAGGGTTTCTAGTCTAAGCTTTTATTTTGGTAGGATATTTTTGTTTTATGTTGGTCTGCGTAAACATGTTAGCTAAATTTTTTGTTTAAAATTGCTACAAATTGTACATTTCAATTAGATGTAACGTTTTATGATAAATACCTAAATGCTTTTTTGGGTATGTTTAAAAATGTGGTCATACCATTGGGATTTTCTAAAAAAAATACATCTGTTACACTGACCTTTTTGAAGTTAAACGTGAAATAATTTTGCTGTTTGTTTTTTATGTATTACTTTACAATCAGCACCCCATACTGTAACTGTATACATTATTTTATGTTTATACAAATCACTATTTAAATAAAGTTCATGTACTCACATAATTACCCGTCAGCACTTATATGATATCTGTCATATCTGCACTTTGATGGTAAAATGTTGAGTCAGATGTGTGTTTGGTGATAAACGTGTGGTTCGCCCTGTGGGTGTTTTCTATCTCTGGTAGTAAGCAAAAACAGACAGGTTGCTGTTAAGTTGTAGTAGAATCACCAGTAGAGGGCAGTGTGGCATATCCATTAGAATAAAAACAAGCACAAGTAGATGTTTTTATCTTTTATTTTTTATCATGTTCCTTCTCTGAACATTTTCTACTTCAAAATAAAAGCCAGGCACACTCACAGGTTTAGAGTAGAACACAGGGAGCAACAGTAGTCTGCAAGCTAGAGCAAGAAAAGAACTAAAAACATCCAAAAACTGAGCAGTCACAGTTAGTAGCTTTGTTACGGACCCTCCTTCTGAAAAACCCAAGTCTAAGATTTAGTTTGAAGTTCAATCTTTGATTCTATCATTTAAATTGTTTAAAACGTCTTCAGATGAGCTAGAGACAGACATACGTAGAGAAATAGCTTACTCATTTTTTTCCCCAAGTTTTTGGTTTGTTTGTTTTTTTTCTGCCACACTAGACCTGGTCTGGGTCGGGGAGCTCCAGCTCCAGCCCTGTGAGGTACTGGGTGCAGTTTGGGTCACCCCTGACAGTCGGGGCCGATGGGATACGCCGGCCGGTGTGGGGGTCAACGCACCAGCACTCACCCCTCTGACCATGGAGGGACATCTTGCACTAAAACAAATATATTTGTGTTTAAAATGACACAAATCCCTGGATGTTTAGTCAGTACAGGCTCTAAATTACCTGTTTGGGGTTATACTGCCCCCTTTTGTCACAATTAGGGATGTGCAATGCATAGAGGTCCTCCAGTGGACCTCTGTTATCTCTGAAGGGCATCTTGGATATTCGCTCCAGGACCAGATCAAGCTCCTGCTGACACTGGGTCTTAAAAAAAGCACAAACAACAAAAGTCTCATGTCCACATAGAGGCATGTGGGTGAGCTGGAGCCGCCTGACCAGCTGACGCACCAAAAGTTCTGTACAAACTGTTCAAATATCCACTTTCTGAGATTTTATGAACTGATTTGAAGCAGAAATATGTATATTTTTCACTCAGGCAGAACCCAAGCTCCATCTAGGCAAGAACGTATTCAGCTCCAGGCTGTTCGCCGTGCAACAGGCTCAATTTTTAACTAGCTTTATGAAATGCAAAGAAACATCATCCACAAAATAATGCTGAGAAAATTCCCGTTCCTGCCAGAGTTGAATAAAAAGTTGCCAATGACCTCAGGTTTACCTCACAGTGCTGCACAACCGGAGTAATAGCCATTAAACTGTTTTGTTGGGGGCAGGTAAAGCTGTTTAGGTTTGATGCACTGACCTTTAGGTGGATAAAATCATTTTCATAACCAACTCATTAACCTACAACAATTTTTTTATTTTAAATGTAAAATTGAAGCATTTTTCTGACCACCAGCTGCTTGTAATCATTTATTCCCAAATAATCATTTAGAGGCTGATACAGCAGAAAATGCTGGCTCTCAGTCATCTGCTGTTTTAGAGCAAACTTCACATGTTTCAAAGCAGTGGGTGTTTCTCAATGTCAAGGCGCCTGGCCTTGCGAGGTGATGTCTTGCGAGGCCAGGCGCCTTACTTACGAGGACACTGTCCTTCCTTGGTCAAAGAAAACGGTTAAATGGAACAGACTTGCATCACGTGACCACGGCTTCCATGGCGGTCACGTAACGTCACGTGACATGGGAGATAACGTTATATTTTGTACGTATTAGTTTCAATATAAATATGTAATAAGCCTTTTACTTTTTAAATTGTGTATATGTTTATTAAATTAAAAATATAAGTGAGTTACTAACCGCGAGCCACCGAAGCTGCAACTACTAAAAAACTAACCAACCACAGATAACTTCTTTGGATCTAAAAATAAACATTTTAAATTAGTTGACTTACATTTAAACTTTAAATTCGTCTCCGAAGTAGCTGACGGCTTCTGATCTGTCATCTTTTTGAAAATACCGCTGTGTATTCTGGGTAATTTTTGACCAAGGCTAGGCTACAAGACACCTGCCGTGTGTCCTTGCTCAGCTAGCTAAACGGCTAACAAACGGAGAACACACGCCTCGGTAGAAAATTAACATTAGAACACGTCTTGGCAGCTCCCGATGACATATCTCCTAGGCAACCGGGGCGGGGCCAAGACATCAAGGCAAGGTTCCTTGGCATTGAGAAACACCCAGTGACTCAACTGGTGGCCCTCGGGCCATATTTGGACCAGGAACTGCATTCCATAGGCCTAAGGCTCACAAAAGCATTCAATTATTAATAAATTATATCCAATTCAGTACAAAGTATTTGAAATTTAGACAGAGTTGTTGACAGTTCAGCGTTTCAAAACAGAAGCCATGATTTCTGGCATAACCCTCCCACTGTCTTTATGGGTGACCCCGCAAGGAACGTTGACCATTGAGCAGGATTGATAGTTTATCCCTTGAGGTCCACGTGGCAGGGGTGAGGTGGTACCCAGTCCTCCCCCCTGCCACATGGACCCAAGGGATAAACCATCAACCCTGCTCAATGGTCAACTTTTATCGTGGGGTCACACCCATTAGGACAGTGGGAGGGTTAAAGGTGCCAGGTTGTATTTTTTAAGAGTCTGAGCACTGGAAGCAACACCTACTCACCCACACACAAACATAGTGATCTTATAAAACATCAAACAAATAATAACAGTCAGACATTTGGAACTAGAAAACAGCAACTGGTGTTTAGCACCATCTTGTTTCCTCTTGAAAAGTGGGTTTTTGGTTTTGACATAACCCTGCTAACAGTCAGTGTCGCATGGATGTGCACATCATGTCTATATTGAATCCATCAGTCCAGACCACGTCAGGGGGACGTCTAAACTGGGTTTTTGCATAAGCGTCTCAGGGAAGATACCCAAGGAGAGGGGTGAGTGTTCTGCGACCATGTTTGCAATCAAAACCTAGCTTGTTCTTTAAATTCACTAAAGCAGCTTTAATGCTTTAGATATTTTAGACCAAATTTAGTTGATTCAGGACATAGCCTAATTGGATGCTCTGGACATCATATAAACCCAATGAATTAATGAAAATTTAAATAAACGGGCAACAATTCGAGTTGACCCCACAGGTTCAATGGGACCAGTAGTTACTAAGTCAAAAATGAGTAAACCAAAGCTAACTCTATTAGCGTCAGTGAGGTTAGCAGTGATTGGAAAAATCTAGAAAATTCCCATTGTTGACCCAAGTTTTGTTGATGAGTCTTTCTTTAAAAGGAAAGCTTCTGAAGAACAGCAGAGAGGGATATGTAATTTTAATACATTTAAATGGGGGACGTTTGGCTAACGTATCACAATTTAGAGCTTTCATTCAACGATCACTCAAAATTTATTCATCACAATCATTATAGCATCAGAAAATTGGAATTTCTAGTTTTTAGTTTCATACACACAAAAATAAAGTGGGATGTGAGTTTGGGCCACCTTGTTAATCTTCATGATGTTCCTGTATACGTCGTTGGTCGTTATGATAAAAAATGCCAGTGAAATATATCATATTGACCCTTTGCACGTGACGTCACGCCACTCATGTGACCGCCCCCTTCGCCATGATAGACGGCAAAAAGACCGTTTACACCCATAGAAATTCCAGTGGAGGTAGTCAAAACAAGCCAGTTTGTAGCCTTTTATCGCTTTTATTTAGTTGATTTGACAGTAAAATGGTTTTAGCTTGCTGTGTGGTTGGCTGCACTAATAGACAAGGACGTAAACTCAACTAGTTTTTTCTTTTTAATAACTTTGATGGAGACTGAGGACGGAGACAAACTGCTGCGTCAAGCGGACTAGCAGGCGTCAGATTTGCAACAAACATGTTTTTAACGGGTAAGATTAACGTTCATTTATTTCACAAGGAAGACAGGGACAGGGATAAATGTGATGTGTTTATACCATCGACGTAAATATACTGGACATCTCCTTTCCATAGGCTCCAATATCACGTTTTTGAGGCCAAATGGGAAGTGGCCACCACCGCTATTTTGACCGTGTCACAGGTTCCGTCAAGCCCAGACAATTCCACAAAAGGGAAGAGAGGAGGAGCTGAGGGTGGGGCTGTAAGGCTGGGATCAACTGACGACACCCAGTCGAACTAGCTACAAGCTAACCTGAAGCTAACCCAAAGCTAACGTGGAGGTGGGAGCTAAGCTAACGGAGGTAGCAACCTAGCTACAACCGGAGTTAACTGTGCACAACACCAGAGCTTCTGAGTCAGAGATACGCCGGGCTGACCGCTGGGGAGAACCGGGTGGAACACAGAGGTCTCCGAGAGCTCCACAAGCTGGCAGCCGCACAGCAGACAAGCGCTGCTGCGATCTGAGATGCGCAGAGCTGCCGCTGGGGAGAACCAGGTGGAAAGGTTCCCATCCCAGAGCTCCACAAGCCGTCAGCCCGCGCAGCAGACAGAAGCCGCGATCAGACAGAGATGCGCCGAGCTGCAGGGAGACCCAGCCGGCAGCCCGGCGCATCAAACAGAAAATGCGATCAGACAGAGATACGCCGAGCTGCGGGAAGGGGAGAACCGGGTGGAAAACATCGGTCTCCCGAGAGCTCCACAAGCCGATAGTCAGAACCCAGCTCCACCAACAAGTTATATTTCAACCCATTTTCTAAAGTGCAGCATTATGTTAAATGCACTGGGTTTTACCCTATTACATTTAAATTTCATGGTTAAACAGTACATGTTAAAATCTAAGCTCAGCTCGGCAGTGACCTAAAATACATAAATATAATTTTACTTACCGAAAAAAATGAAGTGGAGACTCCTTGGACGCTCTATTAGTGCAATTAATGCCACAGCAAGTCATTTTGTTCAACAATTGCACTAAAAATATCCAAAAAGAATACACAAACACAGAGACTCAAAATCCCGGAGCAGTTTCCAAGCCAGACCGAGGCTCTACTGAGGCCTTTCCACGGAGCTAGCTCTGTGGTCACGTGGGTCTGATGCTCATTAATTATACAGAATTTTAGGCTTTTAATACACTTAAACAGAAGAGTGAGAAAAATATTCACCCCCCTCAGAGTTGTCATGAGTGTAAACTAGATCTATTAAACCTAAAACATGTTTTGGTACTAGGCTGTAAACATGTTTATTTCTGCTGTGAAATTGGTATTTTTAACATGGGAGTCAATGAGTATTTGCTCGCTTCTGACACCAGCCGCTAGCGGATGAGGGTGGAACTGCAATTTATGGTACTTCCGGGTTTGACTCAATTTGAGAGCTCCATTGTGGGGGCTTGGTTTATACTAGTTATTGATAATCCTGATGGATGGGTATTTCACCACGGAGGCTGCGCTCTGTCCACTGTAGTGTAAAGCGAGACAATTATTAACAATATTAAAGCTCCGATGTATGATTACGTGTGTTAAAATTATGTTTTTTATTCATATGAGCGTCGGCATTCAGAGATCTTCTCATTCCGGTGTGAGAGCAGCAGCTGAACCCGGTAACACCACCAGCAACAGAAGCTGGTAGGGATCCGGACTTTTTAAAAATCAGCTTTGGTGTAAAGTGAAATGCTGTTTATAACATAATGTTATAAATCCAGAGGGGTGAATTTAGGCAAAGTCAGCAACATGTTTACATCGGTGAACAGCTGCAGAGAGAACGTAAGCTAACGTTGGTAAGCTAGTTAACATACCGCTCTATGTGAGCCCCCGCTAGATGCACTACTTCTTCTGATAACTGAACTGGGCATGAAGTAGTTGAAGGAATGCTGGAGGAGTTTTGCTTTTGTTTTGATCGCAAAAACAATTTCAGGCTCTACGTTTCCCTTTGTTTAGTAATCGTGTCACTACTGTTTACAGGCTTTTATCGTCCAGCATGGTGGACCCACGTGATTAGGTGACGTCGGTGCAAAGGATCAATAGGAGACACACAGTGATATTTGAGAAGTGAAACAGTTTACAAATGTTTGCACCTGCCTAATTTTGTTCAATTATTGCACACTTTCTGTAAATCTTATAAACTTCGTTTCACTTCTCAAATTTCACTGTGTGAATTTTTTTTATCATAACAACCAACGATTAATTTAGGAACATCATCAAAATTAACAAGGCAGCCCAAACTTTTGCATCCCACAGTATTTTATGGATTAGAAATAACGCTGGTGTTATGTCAGTGCTGCTCTGCAATTTTTTTAAACGAAGAACCAGTAACTTGTTCTACCTAAAGAAAAAATATTATTATTATTAGTAGTAGTAGTAGTAGTAGTGTACAGTGATTAAATATAAAACTTGTAACGTTTGACTAATTGTACAATTGTTTTACATAGACTCACCTGTTTGGGCCGAGTAGGTCTCACCTCTTCCACCTTGTTGGTCTTCATTTTGGTCTTCATCTCCTGTCTGTGTTGGCGTACGGCGCTCTCTTTGGGTCCCAGCCACATGGTTTCTTTAGTGGGCCTTCGGATGGTTGGGATCTCGCTCACGGCCACATCGGGCTGCTGCTCCAAAGCCTCACCTTAAAAGAAAATCATCATTGTATTGAGTAAAAGGAAGTATTCTGAATGACACCAAACCCAGGGAACAAGCATTTGGTCAACATTTTCTGGGTGATTTTTTGCTGAGGTTCCAATGGAGCATGCCTAGACCATTCTTTGCAAAGCAAGAATTTGGTCTAGTTCACTAGGCTACCGGTATCCAGCAGGTTGAGTGGTTATCTGGTCCAACACACAAGATTCACTGGTTGAATCCCCCGTGCAGCAGCTCATCAGGCTCTGCAGATGCCTGTTAATGACCTGCTGATTGAAATCAGGTGCGTACTTTCCCTGGCGATAGGGAGCTGTACATACCTAAATCATTGCAAGCAAGCAGTATTTTTGTGTTTGAGTAATACTTTATCAATGGATGGCCTTTAGGGTCAAAAATCCCTTTTTTCAAACAAGTACTTCGTCAGATCGTTCAACCTCCAGCAAAATGACAAGCACATCAAACTCCCTTTCATCACTGACAACAAGCAAAGTGGTAAATGTGTAAAACATTTATGAATGGAGAAAGTTTTGTAATCGTTTGTTACAAATCTATAAATGCATCTTTTCCTCCCAGGCACACATAGGAGGAAACATGGCGTCACCCAGAGACTGAGACCCACTTCCATGTATGCTTCCAAGGATTTGGGTTATACAGTGCTCAGCATAAATGAGTACACCCCCGTTTTGTCATGGTCTGCGTCTGTCCTTCCCTTCATGTGTCTCCTGATGTTTCTCCATCCTCTCTTGATTCCCTTCTGTGTCTCATGGCACCCTCATGTGTCCTTTGTCTGCATCTCTATTATGTGTCTTCTGTTTGTAGGCCTTCTTCTCATTCCCTCAGGACCGGTGTTCATTTAGTTATCCTCTGCCGTTCCAGTTGTAGCTCTGGCCTCTTGTTCCCCAGCTTAGTGTGTGTGTGAGTCCTTCCCTCAGTCTTGGGTTTAGTTTTATGTTTAGGTTTATCTGCCCTCCATTGGTTCTGTTTTCCCCATTCGGATCATTTGTGTCACCTGCCTTCCCTCCAGCCCTCACTCCACACACCTGCTTCATGTTTCCTTAATTGTTCTCCCTGTGTATTTAAGCCCTGTCTTGTCTCTGTTTGGTGTCGGTCCATTGTGGTTATTCTGTCAGTCTCTCGTTCCTAGCTCTAGTGTTTCCTGGTTCTTCTCGTGGTTTCTAGTTTTTTTTTTTATCTCTAGTTTATATTTTGGACATTTTGAATTACTGGCTTCAGCCTTTTGGATTTATTTTTGTTTTGGACTCATCCTGCAAATAAAAAGATTTTCTTAAATATCATCTCCTGCCTCTTGTCATCCTGGGTTCTGCATTTTGGTCCTACCATCCCGGACCGTGACACCTTTAAAAAGTACAAATTTAATCAGCAGCTCAATGAACAAAAGAACAATTTCCAGAATTTTAACAAGGCTGGGTTTTATTGAACACTTGTTTAACTCTATAACGTGAAATTAAGGTTTATAATAAAACTTAGATCACTTAGATCAGAAATCCCCACAGGTTTGGATTGGGTTCAGATCAGGAGACATGGTCATTCAATCACCTTCACCTTGTTCTTCTGCAGAAATGCAACAGTAGCTTTAGATGTGTGTTTTGGATCATTTTCGTGTTGGAAAAGTGCACGACGACCAAGTACACGGAGTGATGGCAGCATCTTCTCCTTCAGTATAGAGCAGTACATTTCCTTTCTCAGATGTTCTGACATTTCTCTTCCATGAGGAGCCGTTGCTGACAGCATAAAATGGGAAGGGCTTTTCTTTAAGTAATGCCCTTATATAGTCACCTGTCTGATGGACACCTCTTAAATGAATCATTAGACTCACCTGTGGTTGAATGCCTGTTAATTAGAATGTTGGAGTCTTAAGTGTGGCTTTTCTTCTAAGACTACAATTGGGATGTACTCATTTTGCGACATGAGCTTACCGGTAAATGGATTTGTTAGGAAAATCACGTCTTTTGTGTGTGAAAATGAACAAATCCTGTAATCAACGGCCCACATCTCTGGGAGTGTTCTGTTGTACGGTATCTCATAGAAAATGTTTATTCTGGAAAGAAACTAAAGGTTTTTCTGACAATTGTAATGGGGTGTACTCATTTATGCCGAGCACTGTATGTTACGAAACCGCCAATATTTTTCAACAACTGAGCATCATTCAATTCATTTTCAACATTTCCACGTTATTTCCAGATATTAATTAATAGTAAAAACTAATTAATAGTAAAAACGACATATTGTCACTGTAATGACAAGAATATTAGGTTGAATCTTTAGGTTTTTCATCACAAATGGACAACATATCCTCTTTGTTTAGTTGAATTTATGAAAAACCCTAAAATATAACACAGAATCTTTTAAGTGTGGTCAATTTTAAATTAGATTGTAAAAAATAAATCACAATTTTCAGAAGAGCCCAAAGTGCTTTTGAAACTGCATTTTACCAAATAATCTTTCAGTCCTTGAGGGTTCCACTTGGCCTATATCCTTGTTAAATGACTTGAACCATCTCCCTTCTTTGTTGAGTCTTGTTAAACATGAACTTACAACAGGAGATGAAAAAAAAAAGAAAATCAGTCCTCAGACAGATGGTGCAAACAAAGCAAGGGGCCATCATGTCTGATCCAGCATGTTGTTCCTGACAACAGAGCATACTTTGGAAATTACAGAGAGGGAGAGGAGGAGGAGGCTTTCTCCAAGCCAGCTGATTTTTAGTTTTACAAAAAAAATGTACATGAAAATAATTTTTCGCAGAACTCAGCTCAGTTTAGCTGCAAGGACAAATATTTCAGGGTATGTGCAGGTTTAAGGGAGCCAAATTTAAGACTTTTTAAGACCTTTTTAAGGCCACTTTGACCAAATTTAAGCAATTTTTAAAATTAAATTTAAGCTATAATTTCCAGCTATTGCCTGGAACAAGTGCTAACCACGTCGCAAACGTGGGATTAGCCATCCAGTTACCATTAATCTTACACTTTCCCATGGCGCAAGCTCCCACTAGCTTAACCAACTAATGTGCTCATCTATAAATAGCCCCCTTTCACAACCAACTGAATGTGTATGGTTCTGCTTACGCCAACATCATACACAAAAAATGCTGAATACTAACTAGAAATTCACAAAATGTTTATAGAAATAAAACAATCTTGTTTATTGGGTTTTTGGTAATTTAAGACTTTTGGAAACTCTATTTAATGATTATTTGTCATTTTTAAGGATTTTTAAGGCCTTAAATTTGAAAAAGCAAATTTAAGACTTTTTAAGGACCCGCGGATACCCTGTCTCCTTCTGGCTCTTGGAGAGTACAAACACTATTTTCCTACTCTCCTCCCTATCTTATCCCCAAGGCTCTTTGTCTGTCTTTGGGTGTACGGCACTTCTGTATATTTTCTGGAAACTGGAAATTATTAAAAATGGACCTGGTCAGTTGGTCTCTCACCGCAACTGACAAAATTTTTTCAATGATGAGAATGGGAGAAGGGGCTCCCGAGTGTCCCTCTGGGACAGAGCCAGTTGGGCATATCATGGACTCCTGGAAACAGTGGAATGTGATCTGCTTATCTCAACTGTCTGCAGAGGATTCTGAAGACGTCTGGATATTCGTGGTGTTGGTGTCAGGTCTCCTGACAGCCGGTTCTGGCTTACCGGAAAATTAATGAGCTGTCGGGGACTATTGGCTCAATCCCGGAGCCCAGAGATGGATTACACCGCACTGTGAAGGCACAGACTCATTAAATTGTCGAAATGAGTCGTAAGCTTGGAACTTTGGCTGAGATTCAGACTCTGGCACAGAAGGTGGATTCCATCAAGGAGCGAGTTGACTAATCAGCACAGATTGGGATAGATTAATTATGCCATTATTGGATTTAGAGGGGTTGAGGACCAACGGAACTTTAAGACAGAGAGGAAATTATCTCTGTCTGGCCCCCAAAACAATTTCTTATCTGAGTCTGGTGCCCTTGAGCCTGTGAGGCTGAAGTGAATACTCCCCCCTCAGAAAAAATGTGGAATGCTGCTGTCGCCATGGCAACTGTGTCCCCCTATGTCAGCCTGGGCGGGACTGCGACCGAAGGCCGTTGAATCGTTCCAGGAGTCACTGTGCTCTCTAAAACCCAACGACCTCCTCCCCCGGTCAAAACGAAGGTGACGAGTGCAGCTTATCATGGCTGCATGCACTGATGTGTGGACAGTCCCCAACCCTACCGCCCCACCTAGTGGGCACTTATGTTGTGTGATGTCTGAAGTCTGTTGCATTTCTGTCTGAGGTGCTTTTTGCATAGCAAAGCTGCCCTCCCTGAGGAGGGTAACTCTGAAGTGCCTTTTTTTTCCCTCCACCTGACTCAATCCTTATGTAAACCCTCTGATCTCTATTAAGGTAGTGCGACTCAGGTTGCGAATGACCACAGTCATCAATTCTTGTCACGTGTCTTTGCCTATGTATGTCTGATCTCAGAATTGTGTGTACTGAAACTCTAATTTCCCTCTGGGATTAATAAAGTATCTTTGAATCGAATTGAATTGAACTGAATTGAATTGAAAGAGCAAATAAATGTGCAAGAACACCAATCACGATTTATTTTGCTAAAACGTTGTCAGAGATTCTACATCTAGCCCCCCCCCCAAGAGTTTCACCGGGCAACCAAATGACAGAAGGCACAGGCCAGGTCAGTAAAGAAGGAATGGGATAGTTTAAAACACATTCTCACTCCCAGCGCGTCAAAAACAAACACTGGGAAAGCCACCCTCCGCATCAGACCCCTGACGCCAAAAGTGCCCTTTTTCGTCACTTATGTGCGAAAAGGGGTTTTTCCCTTTTCTGACGGCGGATCCCAATGCAAAATAAAACTGACAAGATGGGATAACCGCTGATGCGGCACCAAACCAGCTCATTTAACCGCACCTAAACCTTAACATTTTACTATTTATAACCTTCCCCTCACCCTCTTCCTAACCTTAACCCTCTTGCTACCTAAAACGTTA